TAGGTAGTTTAAACTCACCTCACAGTGTCACAAAAACAAGACATAGTTGTTGTTTGTTTCTGTGAGAATTACGACCATAATAAGCAAAACAAGGTAATAAGAGGTACACAAATTGGTAAAGAGGAGGTAAAACTATCCCTATATGCAGATGATATGAGTATACTCAGAAAATCCAAAAGTCAGTGAGAAAACTATTAGACATAATTGACCAATTCAGCAAAGTAGCAGGGTACAAGAATAACATACAAAAATCAGTTGGATTTCTCTACAGTGACAAACAGAATACAGAAATGCAGCTAAGAAAAACAATACCAATTACAATAGCTAAACATAAGATAAAATACTAAGGAACAAATCTAACTAGAGACATAAAAGACCTGTACACAGAAAATTACAAAACATTACTACAAGAAACAAAAAGGGATCTGGAGAAATGGGAAAATACACCATGCTCATATATAAGAAGACTCAATATCATGAATATGACATTTCTTCTAAAGACAACCTATAAGTTCAATGCAATCCCAATACAGATACCAATTCTCTTCTTCAATGTGATGAAAAAGGCAATTTCCAAGTTTATATGGAATGGAAAGAGACTCAAAGTAAGCAAAATACTAATGAAAAAGAGAAACAAGGTAGAGGACATCACACTCCCTGATCTCAAATCCTACTACACAACTGTGGTGGTCAAGATGGTATGGAACTGGTACAGCAACAGACACACAGATCAATGGAGCAGAATTGAGAACCCAGAGATCAGCTCATTCACCTACGGCCAATTGATCTTTGACAAGGACATCGAATCAGGAGAGGAAAGGGCAGCTCTTTAACAAATGGTATTGGTAAAACTGGAAAACAATATGCAGAAAACTTAAGCATGATCCACACCTCACAGTTTATACAAAAATCAACTCAAGGTGAATCACTGACCTAGGAGTAAAACAAAAGACTATAAAATTCATCAGAGAAAAGCTAGGAAGCACTCTAGCAGCTCTAGTCTACAGCATGAACAGTCTTCCAAGCATAATGAGAAACCTACAACCAGAAAGAATAAAATAGATGAATGGGACCTCCCAAGAATTGAATCCCTATGCACATAAAAAACCTTCTCCCATAGGGTAAAAAGGAAAGCCACAGACTGGGAAAAAATATTTGGCAATGACATATCTGATACAGGATAATATTTATAGAACACTCCAGCACCACAACAAGAAAAAGGTAAACAATCCAATCACAAAAATGGGCACAGGATATGACTAGGCACTTCACCAAAAAGGACATTCAGATGACAAACAAATGAAGAAATGTTCAAAATCCCTAGCTGTCAGAGAAATGCAAATCAAAACAACTATGAGCTATCATCTCACCCCAGCAACAACAGCAAAATCCAAAAGGGCAGCAAACAACCAATGTTGATGAGGGTGTGGAGAAATTGGAACTCTTATTCACTGCTAGTGGGAATGTAAAATGGTACATGGAAGGTGCTCTGGTACGTTCTCAGAAAGTTAGAAACAGAAATACAATTTGACCCAGCAACCACTACTGGGAATATACCCTAAAGAAACCAGAGCCACAACTCAAACAGATGTATGCACATCCATGTTTATTACTTCATTATACACAAAAGCAAAGAGACAGAAGCAACCCAAGTATCCATCAATAAATGAACTGAAAGAAGAACTATGGTACAGTCACACAATGGAATACTACACAGCACTGAAAAACAATAAAATAGTAAAATATTACACAACATGAGGGAGCCTTGAAGACATTATGCTAAGTGAAATTATCTCTCTCACAAAAGGATAAATACTCCATTAACACCACTGTTAAAAAATAGCATGGACATGGGGAGATTAAAAAAGGACTGGGGAAAGAGTGGATAAGATAATGAACACTGAACTAGAACAGATGAGGTGAAGAACTATTTGAAAGGAATATATGATTATGCATTATGCATTTGAGAACAATAGAAAATGTGCAACAATGAATAAATGAAAGAAGGGGGAAGACATTACAGCCAAGAAAATCTTATGGAGCAATTCTACAATGTAATACAAAAAGAGCTGCCATGAGTCTGAACTGTTTTGGCAACAGGCTTGGTCTAATTTGGTTTTGACAAGTCAAAAGATAACAGAAACCAAAACATCATTTTATAGGCTGCTTAGAGCGTGGTGTGATTCTGGTGTTTGGAGCATAAAGCTGGGTGGCAAAAGGGTCATTTAGAAACAAATTGTATTGTCATGAATGAGTTCTGAAATTATTTCAACATTCAATTCATTTTAAAAGTTCAGAATGAAAACATCATGGGAAAAACTTCATGGATAGGAATTTGGAACAAAAACTAAGCAAGATAACAAAAAATCTAAATTATAATCATCTGATGGTACCATATCAATAACTTCACATATCCCCACACTATTCCACATCAAAAGCAACATCTCAGTTCAGTTTTAACTTTTAAAACAAAATTCTGTTACCACACAATGTGTAGCTTCTAAGAACAGGGTTAGGTTTAGAACTAGAGCATAACTTACTTTTACAGCTATAGACTGACCAAATGATATGAATTCTATACCTACTGGCCTTAAAGAAAAACTTATTCATGGTGGAGAGTGCTTACTTATTAAATTTTGGTTAGAAAATAGGAAAAACAACACTAAAATAATTTGTTGACAGACAGGATAGAATATCTTCTGATGTTACCCCAGGTTCTTATCACAAATACAATCAATATTTTAAACCTATACTATTTTCACAGAAAAAATAGAAAAGTTAAATAGGCAATAAGACAATAACTAATGTAACAGAGTTAATCATAAATGTGCATCACATAATTTGCATTAATTATTTTCAATACTTACTTTTTAATTAATCCTATAAAATATTTTAATAGAAAAAAACCTTCTATAAAAATTTGTAGTCTATACAAAACTATCTTCTTTGTGTTATATTTTAAATGCATTGCTAACCCAAGCCATTTTGTAAAGTACAAGAATGAATTAAAAAAAAATTGTTAAAAAATTTCTAACAACAAAAAAAACTTTCCATAACTGAAACTCAGCAATTTTGTCAATTTATATTCTAATAATAAATTATACTTTGGAATTAAAATATATTTATGGATCTTTTATTTCCTGTCAGCTTTATCCATTTTTATTGACCTTTAAAAACAACAACTTGTTTAAAATAAACTAATAAATACTTTTTTTGTGGCTTATAAACTGCATTTGTAAACCCCATAATGCCACCAAGGGCTACTGTGAGTAACAATAATATGACCAAAGTATGAACACAAATATTCTATATGCCTTGAATAAATGACCTTCAATTTGACAACAATGTGCCTGTTAGGTAATCAGTTTTTGCTCACTCAGCAAATCTATTTTAGCAAGGTATCAGAGCAAAGCCCAAAAGTTACAAAAAGTTCAAAAGTCACTAGAGAAGACATGCACTATTATGAACATATGTGTTGTGAGGTTCTAACAGAAATACTTTCCCTTTTTAATTTATTTAGTGGCTATTTTCATTTAAAACTGATTAGGCGACATTTAAAACCTTTCCTTTCATTTGGGAGCTTTGGCGGCTTAGTGGTAAGAAGCTGTGCTGCCAAGCCAAAGGCAAGTGGTTTGAATCTACCAGTTGCTCCTTGGAAGAAAAATAGGCAGTCTCCTCCCACGGGATTTACAGCATCTGAAAACCTGCTGGAGGGTCGGGTTTGAATCAGTTCTGACTTGATGATATACAACAGGAATATCACTAACAACAACTGTAGTTGTTAACAGCAGTCAGTGTCATATGCATACACATCTCTGGTTCAAGACGTACTTATTAGTGTAATACTTAAGTTTCAGTTATAAATAACATGTGTACAACAAACAGGGCTGACATTTATGTACTATAATAAATAAAAATTAATACATAAAATACAATTTTAAATTAAGTTAGAAGATTCACCAACTATGACGACATTAAATAGCGAACTATTCACTTCTGCTACAGAACGTCAGTCAGGCAGGATCTGAAAGAGATTTTCTATTGGTAGCAATATAAAATTGACTATACCTCCAATCTCTGTGTTATTTCGTTATTTAAGTAAAAATATGGTACTTGGGCAGTGAAAACATTATCAGTGTAAATATCGCTACTGCAGACTCTGCTGGGTCTTTTAAAATTTTCCAAAGTCATGATGAACACAATCATTGAAGCTACATTGTTTGAGAAAGTAATGTAAGTTATACTGTTCAAAAGTACCTTGACATACACAAACATCACAATGTAACAAAGCAGAAACTCATAACTATTTAATATGAAAAATTAAATAAAAAATTTTGTTAGAGAACTTCAGATTTTTTCACCTTAGTGAAACATTCTTTTTACATACTTTCAATTTTACTATACAGTGAACAATAAAATATGACATTCAAATGCTTTATTTACACAAATAATATTATCAACATTAATTAAAGTGACGTCCTTAACATGAACTGTTCTGCTAATCATGATTTTAAAATGTTTCTTTTATATTTTAGTTAGCAGTTAGCATTACATATTAGTCAATTCTGTGATGACAAATAGAGGAGCCTAGTCAAAATACTGTTTCTCAAAAAGTCATGTACATCATATTGCTTGAAACTAAACAACCATATAAAAGTGGTAACTGTTTATTTAAACATTGATTATGAAAGACAACTGGAACATGTGCAGGCCGACAGTTGAGACCATGATAGAGTATTTATAATAAATGTCCTGTACTGAGCTGAACATGATATATATATAGTTTTCTATGTCAATTACTATGGTCTCTTAAAATTACAAAAATATCATATAAAATACCACAGGCTTTAAAGGATTTAACTTCATGTGGTTCTAATACTAGCAGCTGAAAAGTATTTATAATTTAAAAATAAATAAACTATAGAGGTAAACCAGTTACAAAACAGCAGAGGACTGCTACAGTTACAAGAGTGAAAAGAACTGCTTAAGAAACACAACAGCTAACAAAATGGTGAAGCGGTTGGATCAAAAGTTTTGAAAACCTCTTTCAGAGATTTGTCATCAGCTTCTTTACTGGGGTCATTCTCTGGGACCGGGCTCACCTGGCCCGGCTGCCTTGCTTGCCTTGGATCACTGTACTGGGGTCTAATTAAGCCTGTTAATGCAGGGATAGGAAGACTATGTACTGCTGGGGCCTGCACCTTACCAGGACCCCTGAGAATGCCTGCTTGGGGGTCAGCTGCCCCCTCCACAGTGACTTCTCTGTTTGGAGTGTTTTTTGGTGGCAGGATTGCTTCTGCAGTAGAAGGCTCATTTTTGCCACTACTTTTTAAAATGCCACTCTTTTTCTGGTTTTCTGCATTTTCTCCTAGTTCTGATGTAGATAATGAACCATGCTCTCTCGGATCATACAAACTAATACTACTAAGAACTGAACTTGGACTTCCCAGTGAAAGGCCAGTTGAAGATGACAGTTTAGGGACATATGGAGGCAGAGCCCCAGTCCCAGCACTGCGAGATACTGCCCCTGAGGCCTGGGATGGACCAGGGTTTGATTTTGTTAGAGGAAGGGGACCTTTAGTCGAATGACAATCTTTTGTAACCATCTGACGCGACTCTGTACTGGGCAGTCTGTGAAGTCTAGGATCAAAATTTTTTTGCAGTCTGGGATCTCCTAATTTACTTCCTGAACTATGTACATCTCCAAATTGATCTAGGTAGCCTTCTTTGTTTGTTGTGTTATTTTTGGCTTTGACTGCTAATTTCAGATCAACAGGTGGTATGTTTTGATGAATATCACTTTTTGCATCCCACAACCTACTGAGCCTCTGGTCAGCTATAAGAGGGGGTAGAGGTAAATTGATTGAAGATACTGGATCAGGTTTAGGTAAAGGTACTGGAAGTAAATCTTCTGGAGCCCACACGATATGTTTTGCAAAGTTTGGTTTGGTTAGGATAATATCCATTTTAATATGACTGAACTGTCTCAACTGTGACCTTGGATCCTGGAGAATTATACCAGGTGAAGGATCCAAAGGTATTAAGAAAGCTTTTTCTCTCAGTTCTCTTTCCACAATTTCTTCATCATCTCCTCTTTTATGTTTGACATTAGTGCCAGTATTTGCATGACGTAGATCGCACTTGGCTCCAGTGCCAGAGGAGCCTGTATGGGCAGTAATATTCCCTTTTGACTTCCTGGGGTCCCACGCAAGTCTAAGATCCACTGGTGTGGACTCAGAAGGATTTTTAACACCTTGTCTTGGCACAGTCCTAAGTCTCGGATCAGCCACCCGGTGTACTTTATTTTTCTCTTTAGCAAGCCTTGGATCGGTAGGAGTTGTGAGTTCTGTGGGAGGGAGACGTTTATTCTGAAAAGTTTCCGTTTGCTTCTGTAATGTTTTCAGTATTGACTTGACGCTGCTTCCTTCATCCTCTTCACTGCTGGAATACCAGTTAACAGTATCATCTAAATACAGATAAAAAATTATTATAAAGAATAAAGCATTCATTATTGGATTAAAAAAGCCAAAAGATACATTTCTGAGATAAGTATAAAGTAAAGGAAATGAGAATAGTTGTGATAATAGTTAAGCATTGAGCTGTCAAGTAAAATGTTAGTAATCTGAACCCATCAGCAGCTCCCTGGGAGAAAATGTATGTCAAATATATATACCTAGGGTGTGGGTGAAGAGCGCAGAATATCTCATGGGCTGTCAAAGAACAGAGATGTTTTGGAGAGGGTGCAGCTGGAATGCTCTTAAGAGTCAGGATGGCAAAGCTTCATCTCACGTACTCTGGGAATATTGCTAGAGAGGGATATTCCTTGGAAAGAGGCATAACACTCAGAAACGTGGAGGGTCAACAAAAGAGAAGAGGACCCTCAACAAGATGAACCAACAGTGACTGCCACAATGGGCTCAAGTATGCAGATGATGGAGGATGGTGCAGAACAGACAGGACATGAGTTGTACTCGATTTAATGGAGCATAATCATAACTGCACCAACAATAGGGGTGCTATGAATTGGAATCAATTTGACAGCCCACACAAACGTCAACGGAATGCATTCTAGAAATACCAGAATTTCAACAATGGCACATTTTGGTTTTAAACAACACATGCTGACACAGTTTTTCAATCAAATCTCAGGTTAAAAAAAGTTACTTTTTATCTAATGAGACATTAACACTCATTGCCATCCAGATTGGAACCAACTCCTATCTGACCCTCTGGAAGGTTTTTGGAGCCTGTAAATGTCACGGGAGAAGATTGTCTATCTTTCTCACAAGGAGCTGCTGATGAATTTGAACTGCCAGAGAGGTGCAGTTTTGAGTTAGCAAAACCACTCCACGGATTATTCCATCATCTTCTTTTCTCTTCTTCTCTTTGACCTACAGGAACCTTAGAGGTGAACTTGTGATGCACTTTTATTGGCTGCATATATTTCAAATACTTCTGCATAGTAATATCCCTCCTCATAACATTAGTTATTTCTATTGAAAAAAAAATGAATTTTCTCTTTATATTAACCTATTTTGTAAACAGTATTTAAACTGACAGAAGGAAAGGAGACAGGCACTGGAAAATGTTTACTATATAGGAAATGATACTTAATAGCTATTTATCAAAAGAGAATAAAATTACTAAAAGCATTAAAATTTATAAAAACACACACATCAGTTGCATAATCTCAATTATGTATAATAACCCTCATAGAAAACTATCAGTTACATACTATTATGGTATAAAATTTTATAAAATAAAAACTCTTTGAGTCTATAGAAAAATTACCACAAAAGTTGTGAAATAAGTTTTAAACTTAAAAAAGAACGAACACATTTAAATTATATGGGAAATTCATTTCAGGAAGAACTTATGCTCTTGTTATATCTGATAAAAGTAAAATAATGTTACCTTCTTTTAACATGAAAAAAAATCATTTTTTATGTAATACATGCCTGGAGGATAATGAGCTGGCTGCCAGCCCAAAGGCTCAATTCTACCAGCTGCTCTTCAGGAGGAAGAGGCAACCTCCCCCTTGCATGCTGACAGTCTCTGAAAGCCGCTGTGGTAGGTAAGCTAAGGTTCAGTTACAACTAGATGGCAGTGAGTTTGAGAGTGTTACCTAGTTTTACTTAGTTCTAACGTATTATATTTAAGAATGTCAACATGTACAACTAATCCTAAATAGAGGACACTAGATAAACTGGAAATATAATGAAGTGTTCAGAAGAATTCAGACTTAATTAACTGTTAACAGGTAAGATGTTACTATAATACCTAACACACCTTCTTCTTTGACTGGTGTCCTGTGAGATGCAGTGCTGCTTTGCTCTTCATCTTCTTGGTATTTCTGATTAAGTCTCACAAAAAGTGCCCTCTGCACCGCAGGGAGGAGACCTGGTGCAGTCAGAGGGCTGGGGACTGTCATGGTGCTGCTGTCAGACCCAGGGATATTATAGGCATCTTCAACAGCGGGAGGCTGGTGCTGGGTAAACTCATCATGCCACATCTCATCTATATGGTAAAAGAGACAGGCAGAGATTTACCACTAGAAAGTAGTAAATTCCACTACCAATCCATTTGACAATACTACTATGAGTTACAAAAACCAGAATCACTAATAATATAATCATCATCACATTTTACTACTCAGTTAAAATGTGAAATATTTTCAAAATTAATCAAAAGTTTTACAGAAGTTTGGTTAAATTAAAAACATACTTAAAAGTTTCATGATATTTTATCTACTTTCCTTTGAAATATACATTCTTTTTTTTAATTATAACAAATCTTCAATTTATTTGAATTCCGTTTCAAAAACTTTTAAGTTACAGCAGTCACAGAAAAACCTGGGAATAGTCAGAACCAATAAGTGAATGATCAAGAATACGGCATTTTTGTTTAACACTGTCATGGCTTTATTCAAAACACAGTTGCACAAAAGTATTAACTTCCAAGTTTTAAAAGGAGAGTCTTGAGGAACTTAACACTATATACATACTGTCATACAAAGAGCATGAAAATAGGACCAAAAACCTCTACAAAATATAAAACCCACCCTTATTTATTTGCATGAAAATACCACCCACAAAGCTAAATATGTTTTAAAAGTTATTTGGAGGCTCTAAGTGTTATTTTCAAACCAAAGAACTCTATTTTTGATTGCACAATAAGATGATTGATAAGAATGTCAATATATAGATTTTTTTAAAATAACTATTTTATCATCTAGTATACTATGTAATGAGAATCCTTAGGGAATAAAACAAAACATTACAATTGTTACAAAAACGGGGAAGTGTTAGTATTTTGGAGATCTCAATCTCTCCACTAAACGGAGCCCCAGAATTTCATTTCTTTCAGTCAGTTGTGTAATTTTTAAATTTCTCTACAAATAACTTCATAAGGTCTATTTTAAAACTCAGAACTCACACACTTAAACTAAAAAAGTATTATACTTAGTAATTTAAATGTGTTCCAGTCCAGTAGCTTCAATAAACTTGCTGACATTAAATATTTTTACAAATATTCTAAACAAAAGGGAAAAATCTAGAGTTAACATTGAAAAAAGAGCCTCCAAGACAAAAAGGGGTAATATATACTTGTTTAGTCATTACATATTTTAAGTAGCCAAAGAAATGCATACACACTCATACTTATCTCAAATATTTTTCTTTTTTCAATGCCATCCATTTGAAATCAAATCTTAATTTTAACATTATGTTCCAAATATTTTGCCAACTGCCTAACATACCGCAATTAAATGTTTAATTATAATCATTTATAACTATAGGAAGAATAAAGGTTCTACTCAGGAAAACAAGAAAATGTTGTAAAGTGTATCCTAATCAAGTGGGAAGCAAACTTCAAGAGAATGATTTGAGTTTCTCATTAATTACCAAAAGGCAATTGTTCTGACTTTATAGAACTACTAATGCTGCTTCCCATTTTCCCTTACCTCTTTTCTTTCTTCATCTATTAATAATCTATATGTCATCAGTCAAAAGAAAGCTATATTATAAGCAGAACCTTTTGCATAAAACTATACGGATTTTTTTTATCTGAGAAAGTATTTCTCTCACATAGCTTGTTTATAAAGGAGACAAGTCTGAAAAGGTGGTTGAGGTATAAAGTTTCCCTGGATAGCCATAGTTTCCCAACGGTCTTTGTTTTTGTTTGTTTTTTGTTTTTATTTTTGTGTTGTTTTTTTTTTAGATGAAGGGGAGTGAAACAAGGAAGAAAGGTGATCATGAAGGAATTGCTGAGAGGAAAAAGAACACCTATCTAAAACCAAATAACCCCCGGCATGTCATGATCCGCAGCCTGATGAAGAAAGGGCTCACCTGCATGTCTCTAACTTAGTAAATGCAATTTTTCCTTCAAAAAGAAAATCTTACCAGTTACTTAGCTTAAAAAAAAAAATTTCAGAAGTCTTCACAAAATCCAAGAACACTACTGCTGGATACAGCCTTTACTATTCTGCTTGTACTTTCCAAGTAACTCTTAGGACAAAGAAGCACCCAAATACCCATAGCAAAAAAAGTCACTGCCTTCAAACTAAAGATCTCTGGGTCACTTCTAAAAAAAGAACTAACTCGTCATTCAGGAAACTACTGCCATTTCTTAATACAGCTTACTGTGATTTCAGTTAGTTTATAAATAACTTTAAAAGTTTATGAATGAAATGCACTATACTATACCAGACCTGGGAAAGAGCTATCAAATTTTAATTATGGGCTAAAAATTACTGCAGCAGTGAGCATGAATTAGAAAAAATTAAGATTCCAAAGAAATTTCTAGGGTATTTCACAATTAGGAAAGGTAATGAAAAATTGTCTCTACATACAATATGATCATTAATAGACTAATAAATCTTAGTTGGAATGATAAAAAGGCAAAAATAGTAAAACCACACTTTTCCTATAAAAAGTTAACATGTTATTTTCCGTAAGGATAGCTATCGTACATAAAGAAAGAAAGATGATGTGATCACCCTTTTGCAAACCCAAGAACATTAGGAAATGAGGCTCAGAATGAGCTAGTCATCATCTTCTTCTCCTTCATCTTCAGCATCTCGTTTCCTCTTCTCCCCTCGAAGACCTTCTTCTTCTTCTTCTTCCTCTCCTTCTTCAACATAGTCATCATCATCTTCTTTATCCTGGATCTCTTCTTTCATTAAGTATGAGAGGCCTACTTCCTCCTCTCCCTCTCCCAGTTCTGAGCCTGCTTCATCATCATCGTCATCTTCATCCTCATCTTCCTCGTCCTCTTCTTCATATCCTTCAGGTGGCCCAGCTTCATCATCTTCTTCATCCTCATCATCTTCATCTTCGTCATCATCCTCTTCAGATGCTTCAGGTGCTTCATTATCCTCCTGATCAAATCCATCTAAGTATGTAATTTGCTGCAGCAGTTCAAAAATACTTTCTCTATAATCTTCCAAGTTTGTGATCTCACAATTAAGCAAGTCAAGACTTTTCAAATTTTTAAGATTTTGGAGAGCTTCTACTGTACTGAGATCTTTAATTTTATTTCCACTCAGATTGAGGTAGGTAAGATTTGGACATTTCTCTGCCAGGACTTCCAAGCCTCCAGAAATGCTATTGTTACTAAGTTCTAACTTTCGAAGTTTATTTAAGCTGGGAAGTCGAGCCAGTGAACTTAATTCCACATCAGCCATACTTAAAGACTCTAATTCTTTAAAAGTATCATTTAGGCCCTCAATTTCTCCACTGACACATCTGCAATTATCAAGGACTAACTCTGTCACCTCCTCCGGGGCTTTGTTGCTTAACTCCAGGTTAATCCTCTTCTTCATCTCCATGTCCTCCACCTCCTCTTCTGCCTCTAGTCTCCTCCCTTCCTCTTTCCTGCCTTTCCTCACCTCCCCCAACCCTAAAATTTAAGGTTTGAAAATGAATGAAAAGATACACAAATAAAACACCAACCACCACCAGACAGGTTTAGGGGAGGAAAAAAAAAGAGAATCGTAAATGGAGTCGAAGGAGTTGATACTCTAACTCCACTGCCCCCACCTCCTTGTTCACACACTCGCGCACGCACGCACGCACGCACACACATACACACCCGCGCGCGCACACTCACACACCCGCAGTTCCTTCCCCTTCAATGGCTGCTCAGAGACTGTGAAATATACATTCTTAACAGACTTTCCTTTAATGAAAAGTACAGCTTTAATTTCTTATCAACAATTACTTTAAAGTGTAAACTTACCACCAGTGTTACTGGGAAGCTGGAAATTATGGACAGCATGATGTGGATAGTAATTATCATAAAATTCAGCTGGATTTGGTAGGGATTCGTAATTGGCATTAAGCTGCACTTCATCAGGATTTTGTTGATGTGGTAAACCTGGATTCTGGGTCTCCCGAGATACGCTCATCATATGTCCTTGAAAGCCACTCATGCTGGGTGGTGTCAAGGGTGCACCTGGGTGAACAAGCACTCCAGCTTGACTGTGAGGACCTACAATTCCAGGTGGACCAGGTGGCAGAGGTGAACCCTGTGGCTCTGGTAGACCAGGAGGTCCTGCACATGGGTGATGTACCGGGGAACCTGGGTGCATCACAGGACTGCTCTCTCCCTGAGCCATGTTAGGTAGAGGACCTGGACTGGACTCAGAACTGTAGACATGCTGAGCATGTGGACTGCTTTCCTGAAACTGTGGTCCTGGTGGGGAGGCACTGTTATAAAATGCTGGTGACCTGTAGACAGAGAGAGTGATATTACTTAGTTCAAAGAAAAAGGTTTTCAAAGAATGTTAATATATAAAAAGGTAATGGCTGAGCAATCCTGTATCAGAATAGAATACTATGTTTTCTCAGGACAATTTACTCTGTATTTTCTATAGAAGGAAAAACTACACTTATCTTCAATGGAGCCCAGTTTTGTTTTGTTTTTTTAAATTCATTGTTGTATACTTTCTTTCCCCTACTTTCAGCCCTCCCCACCATGCACCCCTTGTTCCAGACTGCTGTCACACACATTAATGCCTAATCCTTTTGGACAGTTCTTCCCCTCATCTGTTCTAATGCAGTGTTCATTATTTATCTATTCTTTTCCCATTCTCTCCCCAATGCCCCATGTCTGTCCTATCCCGTAACAGTGATATTTTGCACTATTTGTCCTTTTGTGACTGAGATATTTCACTCAACATAATGTCCTACAGGCTCCACCATGTTGTGTAATGTTTTATGAGTTCCTTGTTTTTCAGTGCTGCATAGAATTCCATTGTGTGAATATACTATAATTTTTCTATCCATTCATTTGTTGATGGGTACTTGGGTTGCTCCCATCTCTTTGCTATTGTTAATAACACAGCAATACACATCTGTTTTGAGTTGTGGCTCTAGTTTCTTTAGGGTGTGTTCCAGCAGTGGAACCACTAGGTCAAGTGGTATTTCTATTTCTCACTTTTTGAGAAAGCACCAGACTGCCCTCCATAGTGGTTGTACCATTTTACACTCTCACCAGCAGTGATTAAGGCTTCCAATCGCCCCACAACCTTGCCTGCATTTGTTGTTGGTAAAGAACCCAGTTTTCATAATTGCTGCTATTATCTTTCTTCAGTAATATTTAATTGCAGGAATAAGATAGGCAATCTTCTCTCATATGATTTACTGCCTCCCAAGACCTGCTGGAAGGTCAGCTATTAATTGATTCTGACTTGACGGCATATAACAACAACAGTTATTAACTACGCACAGTATGAAAAATACAGAAAAATACATGCACCTCTCATTTTGGGTGTGTGTGTGTGCGTGTGTGTATACACACATATACTATATATATTATATATACAGTTTCTTTTATCAGTAATGTAACTTGCTATAGATTATGCCAGCAGGGCACCTTCCTCAGATATACTTAATATTGATACTTTTAAGACTTTTCAAGACAAATGTAGACTTTTAAACAACAAAATAAAAAAGCATACTATGTAAACTATTCTTCTGTCTGCTAATCAAGATATCAGAGTCTCAAGTCTATTCAGAGGCACCTCAGAAGAGAGGCCTGGAGATCTACTTTTGAAAACCAGCTGGTAAGCACTAGGACCGCTGTGACGCACAGGATGTCCTGAGTAGGAATCAAATGAGTGGCAACTTGCTGTTATTGTTGTGTGCCATTGAGTCTGGACCGACACATAGCTGACCCTCCAGTGGGTTTTCAGATGCTGTAATTTGTATGACAGGAGACTGTCCATCATTCCCTCATGAAGCAGCACATGCCTTTGGATTGGCAGTACAACTCCTTACTAACTGGACCACCAAAGCTTCCTAAATGTCAATTAGTTTATAGAAACTTTTCTTTCACAAGTTTCAAGTGGTTACTGCTGGCATAGGGAACTCCACAACAGATAGGTGTGCCACCAACTCAAAGTACAGCAGTTCTAACCCACCAGCTGCTCCAAAGGAGAAACACAGGAAATCTCCTCTTGTATGATTGATAGAGTATGAAAACCCACTGGAGGGTCAGTTCTAACTGGGTGGCATATAACAACAAAACATTGCTATAATAGAAAAACTTTTCCAGCTCTGGTGGCCTAGTGGCAACAAGTTGCACTGCCATCCCAAAGGTGCATGGTTCAAATCCACCAGATGTTCCAATGGAGAAGGCGTGGCTATCTCCTCCTGTGCCAGTAGGATCCAACTTGACACAAGGAAAAAAACAATGGGGAAAAAAACCACCAAACTTTTAGTTTTTTTTCTTCTTTCTGGACATTCTGCTAATTCAATTATTCTTTCTAAAAATTGATTCTTTTGGTTTTACTGAAAGGAACAGATGAAATAGTAGGCCTCCTTCTCCATTTCTAACTACTATACCTTTTCTACTTTTCATAGCACTGAGTAGGATCTAGTACATAGTAATACTAAAATAGTGCACATGCTTGTCCACTTCTCAACTTTAACAAAAGTAGTTTTCATGGCTTACAGTGCGTATTTGCCATAGATTTCTTGTTTCTCATTTGCTTCCATGAATGTTCAGAATTAAAAGTCAACAATGTCAGACTCAAAGCACAAACTCCTGGAAGTGGTGCTAGAGGGCTGCAATAGTGTTGAATGCTAATTTGAATCCAGGAAAATTTGCCTACATGTTTTCCTAAGAGCATTCTTAAATAATAAGATATACTAGAGACAAATTAACCCACTATTAAAAGAAGTTAATCAACTATCATGTAGTCTCATAACCTAGGAGGTGCTAAGAATGGCAATAATACCCTTCAGAAATACTACACAAAGAGGCTTCTAAAGCTGTGTAAGGATTCCAGAGAAAAGCACAGCAGCAGACTGGGAGCAAAGGTTCGAGGGGAGGCGGCAGCATGCCAGATGTCTGTTATCTCACCTGAGTCTGACTACATGATCATGAAATACAACTGTTTTGGGTTTTTTAAAATAAGTTTAGGAAAAATCTGTTGTCTTAAAAAAAAACTTACTTCTTCCCAATCTTGTGTGCTAAATCCACAGTAGGTTTCACAACTATTTCAAAAAGAGATGGAATTTTCCTGAAATCATCAGAGAGATCAGTTGGAAAATCATCTTCAGGTTCAGAAAAGGAAAAATGCTCTGGTGGAGTTGGCAGAAGCCCAACTCCTGGAGGAGGTTTGGGGAGGGGAGTTATGCCACGTTTTCTCAGTTCTTCTAATTCTCTCTCATCTTCATTTGTGGATTCTTCTTCAGTATTCAACACCTAAAAATAATTGGCAAAGATTACGGTTTCAGAATTTTTTCTCACATACAATTAAAATGGAAGTTTTATGTAAATTAGCTCTAATGGTCTACTGGGTAAGGAATTGCACTGCCAATCCAAAAGCAAGTGGTTCAAATCTACCAACTGCTCCATGGGAGAAAAATGGGTAATATCATCTTATGTGATTTGCAGCCTCTGAAAACCTGCGGGAGGGTCAGCTTTGGGTTAGTTTCACTTCAATGACACATGACAACACATGTGTTAACAGAAAAAAATAGTATCAAAGTTGAAATGGATCATAGACAGCTGATTCTTCACATCTGATCAAGAGAATAGGGTTCAAAGTAGTGAAGGACACAGCCCCAAACAAATCATGCTAATTAAATATCAGAAGAATAGAAACAGAAGATTCTTAATTCCTTAATCTAACAGTTTTGCTTTCTCAAAACACTATATTAGTGTTAAAAAAAAAAACACTATATTAACAGAATAAACCACAAAATAAATCCTCAATTTTTAGTAGAGTTTTGTAAAATATTAAGTTATTCAACTCAAATCTGTGGATACAGCTAATAACCAAGATACAAAAATATTACTTACTTTATCTAAAAGTTTCCTTGTTTCTTTAGTCAAATCATCGTGAGAAAATTTACAGTTATCTCCTTGGTAACATTTTGCTCCAGTATGATAGAACTTGCATGGAAATTCATGTAAATAAAAATATTAAGGAACAGACAAAAATAACTGCTAAATCTTAGTGTATTTCTTTTCCATAATAAGAAAGGCCCAGGAATTTGCTTCCATAACGATTACAGCCAAGAAAATGCTATATAGTTCTACACTGTAACATATACTAGGTCATATGTGCTAGAACTGATTCTAACAGTGAATTTTATCTCCTGTATTTCCTATGAACCAGTAATTAGATCTAGACATTTCTTTTTATTCCTTACTACTTCATAGATGTTTACTTCAAAATGCATCCTTATCTGGGAGATTTAACAGCTGATTGCTCTTCTTTCAAGACTGATGGCTGGTGGGTTCAAACTGCCAACCTTTAAGTTAGCATCTTGCAGCATAAGGTTTATCTGTTGTTGACTCACAGCTGTAGTACTGAGAATGGGATTTATTTGGGAAGTAAGTTGGAGAGTGAGGGAGGCAAAGAATATCTCACAATGTAAGTGGTTTAGTAAAAGTCCTGGTTCAGTTCACCAACACAAATTTAAGAAGACTCTGGTTTCCTCAATCATTAAGCAAAGTTTGCCTCAGACGTTTTAAGTCAGCTTCTCCTTCAAGCATCTGGCAAGAACAACAAAACCTTTAACTGTAGCCAGCACATATGCAAGCAGCCTCCAGATCACACCTTACCCCAGATTCTCAACAGATCGCCACAGCTTTTCTATCACCATCACCAGGGCTTCACTCTCAGCAGGGTCTTGCTCCAGTCTCCAAGTCTTGGAGCCCTCAAGTCTTGCTGCTCAGTGTGGGAAGCACTCTTTGTCTTATCCTAGTCCCACAGCTGTTGATGATTTGCAAGACCATCTGTCCGCTATTAACACGTTGCCACAAATGTTTCTAAGCAGTCAGTCGTCAATTTAAAAGTGTGCAGCAATGTGTTAAGGTAGCTAGAGACTAGACGGAGCCAAGGTAATGGCTAAAAATAATCTAACTTTTAGGTTAACACTGCACAGCTGAACCCTTTGAATCACTGTGCTACAGGGGTTATAAACTGTCCTCGTCAACTTTTCACTGAATGATTTTTCAGCCATCAATAGTCACAACCAAGATTGATGAAATTTTTCAAAGTGAGAGGATTACGAGAGGGTAAATGCACTGCCAAATCTTCCTCCATTATGGTATCATTTTTGCATTCCCATCAACAAGGTGTGTACATCTATCCTCACTTATTAACCATCTTTTTTTATTAACCTTTATCTATTAATCTTTATGTTATCTTTATTAGTCTTTATCTGTTATTTTGAGTTTATAACAACAGCAAAAATATCTACTATTCTGCACATTAACAATGTATATCTGTCACTAACAAAAGCTAATGTGGGAGGTGAGAGTAACTGGTTATGATGGTTAAGGTTATGTGTCAACTTGGCTAGGCCATAATATTCAGTAGCTTGGCAGTTATATAATGATGTGATCATCCTCCCTTTTCACACAATGCCAATTTTCATATAATGTCACCTTTCACATATGACGTGGTCTGTGGAACCTACCATTCTAATAAGTGAAGAGTGGGTATATGGCTTATTTTCCCACAGTATTATCAACATACTTATCTGGATTTTGTTAAAGAAATTAAAAATTCACACAATCAAATTTTCCATCTCTTATTCATTCTAGATTTTAGGTCATAGTTATAAAAGAATTAATTCATCTATTCCTATAGGATTGAGATCTAGAATAGCAGATTTTTCAGTTTCCATTATAGTCACTTCCCTTAAAAAATGATTCTTGCAAAGGTGGCAATATTACCTTAAAATTTAGGAACAAGGCAAAAAGAACTAGTGAGCAAAGCTGTTACATCTGATATCTTTGTACTGTTGAAATTAAAAAAAAATACAGTAAAGCAACAGGGGCTTAAGGCCAAGTAGATCCATACAATTAAACAGAAATCCTAGGGGCAGATGTGGGGGCTGTTGTTGTTAGGTGCCATCAAGTCAACTAGGACTCAGAGCAACCCTATGAACAACAAATCTGAGCCTTCGCTCCATCCCCACAATCTCTAACATGCTCAATCTGTTAACCTAGATACTGTGTTGATTCACCTTTTTGAGGGTCTTCCTCTTTCTTTCTCTAACCTTCCAACTTTCCCAGGATGAAGCCTTCTTTCCAAGGACTGACAATATGCCACAAAATATGAGAGATTATGTTTCCTAATCCTTGCCTTTAAGCAGCACCTATTCTCCTGGCAGTACTTCGAATATTTAGTATTCTTCTTCAAGACCACAATTCAAAGGTCTTCCTTATTCATTGTCCAACTTTCAGATGCACAGGATGCAACTGAAAATACCATGGCAAGGTATTTTCTTTGTCTTTGAATTGATATACTTGCTCTTCCCCAATGTTCTTTTGATTTCTTGACTACTATTAGCATGGGTGTTGACTGTGGATCCAAGTAAAATGAAATTATTGACAACTTCAATCTTTTCTTTACTATCATGTTGCCCAGTGCTCCAGTAGTTAAGATTTTTTTCTTAACATTAAGATGATAACCACATTGAAGGCAGCAGTCTCTGATCTTTCACAGCAAGTGTGTCAAATCCTCTTCACTTTCTTCAAGCAAAGTTATGTCATTAACATAATACAGGTTGCTGATGGGTCTCCCTCCAATCCTGATTGTGTTTCAAGGTTTCAGTTCTTTTTGTGTTTCAAGGCTGGAGAAAGATCCAACCTTAACACACACATACATTTTTTCTGATTCTAAACCATGCAGTCTTCCTTTGTTCCATTCAGATACTGGCTTCTTTATCCATGTATAGATTTTGCATGAGTATGATGAAGTGTTCTGAGATTCCCACCCTTCTCAATGTTAGCCATAATTTATAATCTGCTCGGTAAAATGTCTTTGCATAGTCAATAAAACTAATGTTAACATCTCTCTGCTATTTTCTGCCTTCAGTAAAGGTCTATCTATCTGATATCAGCAATGATCACCCTCAAGCTATGACCTGAAACCAGCATGAATTTCTGGAAGCCCTCTGTCTATAATCTATTCTAGACATTTAAAAAAAAATCTTCAGAAAAATTTTACTAGCATGTGATATTACTAATATTGCCTATAATTTCCACATTCTACTAGATCACCTGTTTTGGAATGAGAAAAAATTATTATTATCTTTGAGTCAGTTGGCAAGTCTCCCAAATTTCTAAGCTTGGCTAATGAGCACACACAGGGCTGCACCAGTTTATGAAAAGATGTCAACTGGTATTCTAGAAATTCCTGGACCTTGTATTTTGCCAACACCTTCAGTGCAGCTTGAAAATCTTCCTTCATTACCACTGGTTCTTGTTAACATGCTACTTCCTGAAATAGTTCCATATTAACCTATAGTTTCTATACAATGACTCTGTGTATTCCTTCTATCTGCTCTTGACGCATCCTGCATCATTCAAGATTTTCCTCACAGACTGCTTCAGTATTGCATCTTGAGTCCTGAGTTTGTTTATCAGTTCTTTCAGCTTGGAAAATGTAGAATATGTTCTACCTTTTGGTTTTCTAACTCCAGGTCTTTGCACGTTTCATTATAATACTTGTCTTCTTGAGTTGTCTTTTGAAATATTCTATTAATCTCTCTTATTATAACATTTCTTCCCTTTTTCTTGGCCTCTCTACAATCTAGCCCAATATTCAGTCCCTTCTGACATCCATTTTAGTTTTTTTTTTCTTTCTACCCTCTTTGCTTTCTTCATGGTTGAGTCATATTATGACTACTTTGATCTTTGTTCATAAGTGTCCAATGGGTCAAATCTATTTTTGAGATGATTTGTTACATTTGGGTGGGATAGACTCAAGGTTGTGTTGGTTTTTGTGGACTTTTAAAAACTTTCTTCGATATGAACTTGCACTATATGAATTGATTGTCCATATAGTGAGCTCCTGACCTCATTATGATTGCTGATACTGAGCTTCTCCAATGATTTTCTTCCCCACAAATGTAGTCAGTCTGATTTCTATGTAGTCTATCAGGTGAGGTCCAAGAGTATAGTAATATGTGTGTGTGTATATATATATATATATATATGTATATATATATATATATATACACACACACACACATATAGCTCAAGAGTATAGTTTATGCTTCTTAAGAAAGGCATTTGCAGTAAATAAGTTAATGATCATTTAAAATTTTATCACTTGCTTTCCAACCTCACTTCTGTCACTAAATCCATATTTTCCAACTCCCAGACCTTCTTTATTTTTAACTTCGTATTCCAGTCACCCATTATTATTAATGCATCTTGGTTTTATGTTCCATTAAATGCTCTTAAGTGATGTTGAGTAACTGACTAGATATTTTAGGGAAAATTAACATGCAAAGATTCAAAATGCATTATTTAATACAGTAAGCTAAAAAACAAACAGATGCTGCCCTGGATGTGCTCACTAAATTGTGCCAAGAACTCCAGAGGACAGCCAGCTGGCCAACTGACTGGAAAAGATCGGTATTTTTTCCTTTTCCAAAGAGAGGTGACCCAGAGAGTATGGAAATTATCATTAATATCACATGCAAGCAAGATTCTGCTGAAAATTATTCAAAAACAATTGGAGCAATATGTCAACAGAAAGATGCCAGATGTGCAGGCTGGATTTAGAAGAGGTTGTGGTACTAGCGATATTATAGCTAATATTAGATGGATCTTGGCAGAAAGCAGAGAATACCAGAAGAATGTCTATCTGTACTTCATTGACTATGCAAAGGCTTTTGACTGTGTG